ATACAAGTCGACCAGGCCGGAAGATATGAACTCCTGGAGGTCAGTGACGCCACTTGCCCCGGATCCGTTGACAAAGCTGCACAGCTATTCAATGTTTCTTGGATTCCTCGACCTGTCATCGCCTCAATTGATGGCAACTTGCTAGTGAACAGAACTCTTCTCAGGAAGGGTGACGTCTGCGAGGGCGATGAAGATACGATGGATATACAGTTCAAAGGGAGTCCACCTTATAGTGTGAGATACGAGCAGCAGCGCAAAACCAAGTCTGGTGTTACTTCACGCCCGAAGAGTTTGACTGCGGCTTTGAATTCCGCATCCATACGCATGGAAACTTCGAGGGCTGGGGAATATTTGTACAAGTTTACAGATATTGGTGACAACTTGTATAATTTTGAACCCAGCAAGTCGAATCAATTTACGGTTTCTCAGAGGGTCAATCCCCGCCCTTCCGCCCAATTTCAATCTCCAAACCGTATATATGGATTTTGCAGAGAAGAAAGCGACGGAGATGAAAGTATCCCTATAATCTTGGAAGGGATTCCCCCGTTTGCGATAGAGATCGGTGTCAGGCACCATTCAAATTCGAAAACTGATATCCTTTCTATTCCGAATGTCAGTTCCCGTTTGTATAATCTACCTGTCCCTCGGCGGTACCTTGATTTAGGCCAGCATGTGATTACGATACGTAAAGTGCGAGACGCGCGCGGTTGTCTTCGCACGACAGAATATGATGGCTCATCTGTGAGGGTCACAATATCCGATGTTCCTACCATCATTCCGCTGGAATCTAAAGTGGACTATTGTGTCGGTGAAAGACTTTCCTTTTCGTTGTCTGGACATGCCCCGTTCGACATTTACTACACATTTGGCAGTATAAAGAGGAAAGCAACTAGCCAAACAACAAACTTTCGTCGAATCGCTGAAAAGTCGGGCGAGTTCACCATTACCGCTGTGAGTGATAGTGCCAGCGGAAAATGCAAAGCCCATAAGAGCATAACGAAAATTATTCACGATTTGCCGAGCGTCCGAATGAGCCGGGGTAGGACTTCTGTCATCGATATTCATGAAGGAGGGGACGCTGAGATCTTATTTGAGTTTTGGGGAACTCCACCATTTGAATTCACGTGAGCTGCCTTTTGACCTTTGCGCCGCTTACTTCTGCTAACCCCTTACAGCTATACCCGTAGCTCAAATGCGGGTAAGGGATCCAAGCCACAGGTTTTGGATACGAAGCATGACGTATCTTACGAGCATACCAAAACTATCCGCGCGTCTGATGAAGGCACTTATGAAGTCGTTTCTATTAAAGATAAATTTTGTTCGTTTTCTATTTTGAATGGGGGAACAGTCACGAGAAAGCGATGATTATTTGAATAATACAATTTCATTTCCCTAATACTCCGATGAATACTTACGGATTAACTTGGTCCACTCAAGTACAGAGAAGGCCAACCCGTAAATTTCACCTGTTTATCTCCGCCTTAGAAATGAGATCTCCACCAAGGGTAGTGATATCTTTTAAGGTCGTGTCCTTGGCTAAAACTACTGCTTGATCCGTGGCATCCGTATCGGTTACTGGTGCGATCGAGTAGTTCAGCTTCAGGCCAAAGCCCCGAGGTTTTGTAGAATACGGCTTCCAGAGACCTGCAATCACCTTGCACTCTTCATTCCCGTGGAAGAACAAGATATGGCTCCCGTACATACGGTCAAGTTCGCCGAGAAGATGCGTTATCACATCTACTTTACCAGACGATCTCGGTTCCGGAAGATTTTTATACAATTGTTGGCCTCCAGAAGTCGTGCCACTTTGGGGATTGAGATGAAGGACAAAATCATAGTCCTGCAGTAAAGACCGGAAAAGATGAGAAAAGCAAACCTCTACTCCCATCTTCTTGACAAGGTCAAGTGCCGCTCTAGTAAGATTCGAGAGTCTTAAAGCGACAACCTTTGGTGGCTTTCCTCGACGAGTCCAAGCGATACCCTCATAATCCAAACTAGAGGCCACAAACAAGCTGACGGTATTCATAAGTGGATCAATTTTACGCCATGCTGCGAATCGGGTTTTGATATCAGCGAAGTCACTTAGCGTTAGTTTGTTGTTAAAGTCGACCACAAGAGGCTCGTGCTGCCAATCCCATTTTGAAATGAGGTACAGGGTATGGAGAAGGCCGTTACCAACACTCGAAGGGGTTGTCCATGGCTCGGGATGGAGGAAAACACGACAGACTAGGAGTTCCAATAATTCCTCGCAAAAGTAAGGTTCGAAAAGATGCGAATTCACCCACAGTTTAAAAGCACGAATAGTAGGCGTCAGGAGCGGGAATCGGGTAGCTAGCGTCTGAATGGCCTGCGTATGCTGAATTTGGTAGGGGAAGAGCCGCTTATGAGCAATAAGAGCTGAAGCAAGGTTTTCTTTTACTTGATCCCCCATATTTCGGCCTCTGAGGCACTTCTCCAGCAATTTTTGTTCGCATTCGTGATATAGACGAAGGCGAAAAGTCAACATATGCGAGAAGCTGATGTCGAGAAACGCCGCGTTTTGGATTCCGCTGTCACTGTCCTCTAAGCCCACTCTACATGGTACGCCACCCTCGGACTGCTCTAATAATTCCCCAATCTTTATCAAGAATGACAACTTTGTCATTTGAATTGCCGCGAGGTCATCAGGCCATCGAGCTGATCCTTCGAACTGGAGAATCACATCGATTGGTTTGGACCAACCTCGGTCACTGGTTGACATGTCAAGTGACGAATGCCGCAGGATAGGGCTCGCACCAAACATTTGACGAAAAGTCAAAGGTAAACCGTGCAGATTGCGAAGCTTGCACTCGAGTGATCTAAACGCATCCAATACTGGTTGAAAGTCTGTTCGAGGTCTCATGACGTCTCGGATGGCCGGGAACTTCTCAGAATCCAAACCTTTGAAATGTATATCATCCGGTAACAAATCCAAATGTCGGCAGAGACTATATGTGATTATTTGACGTATAACTGATCCATCAGATGGGCGTTCCGACCATACCAAAGTTTCAGCGATTGTACCATCCTTGAAACGTCGCAATTCAGCTTTGTCCCCCCAGAACTCCCGAAAATCTGAAGAGGCTTCTTTATCTTCCGCCAGGGGACCGCGGTCGACAATACGATGGCAAGTATCCTGGTTAAGGAGTAACCCTACACCGACAGGTTTAATGTCTAAACCCCCAATGTCTGACTGAATAGGCCACCGAGGGCTATCACTGTAACTAATATGAACGAGCCTCGTCCTGTCTCCGAGGGCTTTTGTGAGCACACCATGGGCAGAGCAGCAGCACGAAAGGATATCCAAGGCCGTCTTCTGGCTTGACTGGGGTCTCAGTGTTAGATATTCATCGAACCTGCAAAGTGGGTAGTCCACCCGGTTGATGAAGATATTATCGAAGTGGTCTAAGAGAGGATCGTTTAGCATGCTGAGAGTGATAACTGCTTCGTGACGAAGTAGTTGATATGACCAAAAGGTCATTTTGAAGAGCAGGTTTACTCCTCGTTTTCCATCAAATAAAACAGGACCGCTTCCCACAGGGAGTTTCTGTTTCATTTCGTCACTGAAAAACACAAAAGGCTTCGTCAAGTCTCTCCCACTTAGGAATTGCACCATGGCTTTGAATAACTGGTACGGATTGTAACTTTTTGAGAAAAGTGCCTTTTCAGTGGTAGATCCATTTTCCAAGAGTAACGCTAACAGAATAGCCCACTCGAAATGGCCAAAACCACCTTGGACAATGGATGTGCCAAATCCACGCTGACGGAGCCAAGTTCGTCCTAAGATGCAGGCATCCCGGAACGCTGGGCACTTGATGATCGCGGCATGCAAGACTCTTGAATACTCAGCAACCGATGACTCCGCGCGAACAGTAGAATTATATACTGAAACAAATTCCGGAAAGCCAGGCTTGTCATGAGTGGGAAAAACGTGTCGTACCTTATGGCGGGTAGCGGTAGTATGGTCCACAGGAAACGTGTCATTTTCGACTGCAGTGATGACCCGCACAATCAACTTTGAGCGACTATTGTTATCGTTCGCCCGTTCGGTAAGTTCAATAAGGATAATAGGCCGCAATTTATCGTCATCTTGGTAAGCGTAGCTGAGATGGAAACCCGGTTCATTGGAGATCTTGATGCCTGCGGCTATACAGGATATGTAATAAGCTCGCTTGTAAATATAACGATAGTTGTAATAGTCCTTTTTTTGTAAGAGACGTTTCGGAATAGTGACTGCAAGGTCGACCGTAGGGTGTCCCAGTCCCTTCACCGCAGTCTTCAGCGCAAAGCTTCCCACAACACTGATTGCTGTCGGCCTAGCGTACTCCAACAAGTATTTCGCGTCGTGGCTAGGTCGCGGTTCAGGAAACGGAATAGCTACTCCCGCTTTTCGTAAATCAACTTCCGCATCCCTTACTGATTTGGCGCATCTAGCTGGGATGCCTTCAATTATCTCCTTAAGTCGCCGTAAGGGTTGCTGAACAAAACGAAGTTGTTTATCGTCATCAGGTCGTAGTTGGTGAAGCAATTCGTCGATCTGCAATTTGAAAAGATTCGACTTAAATTGTCCACTTGTGGTAGCCAATTTCACAGCAGAGGCTACCGGTTGCGACCGGGGGCCATGAATCCCATTTAGGCCATTAGGGCTTGGTGCATCTTTTTGAGGACGGGCTGGCTTCCGTCCATCGCTTTTCTCGTCCCCGTCGACTAGTTTCCTCCTTTTGGCGCTCGGAATCGGCATATATGGATAATTGCTGATTGTAGTCGGGAGCCTAAATCCAAAAGTGCTATGAATCGAAGTGTTGAGGCGTCTGTCCTTTCAAAAAAGCAATCGTGAAACAAAAATATATTTTATCTTTGGTGTATCCATTTTCCCTTTTTTTTTTTTTTTTTTTGGAAGGGGTTTCTGCAAGCAGCTTTTCCTTTTGGGTGCTAGTCCTTGCGCCACTACATAAATTTTCGAATTACTCCGTACCCAACAACTTTTTACCACCCAATAAGTCTTCTACCAGTGCACTTGTCCTTTGAACCAACCTGAACACTTTCTGAAAGCTCCCAAAATGTCCCAGGCAGTAGCATTGGGGGAACCAATTCCGCCAAATACATCTCATGTATGTCAAATACCTATGTAATAGATCTATCATATCATATACTCCCTGTTTTTCAAATTTTCTCAAGATCATCTTATACTATGCTTGTATTTACCTATTGAGTATCTAATCATTACATATGTCGTCTTACATTCTGCGAGGCCGGACATCATAAGGGTCTTGAGTGCAACTTGCATTTGATCTATGCTTTGCTTGCCCCCCTTGATATATAATTGCTATCTAGCACTGCTAACATTTAAACCGTAGGCTGTCAGTGTGTCACTTCCTACTTGGAGCGCAAATGTGGGTTATGAAGAAGGCCAGGATTGGGTCATAAAAGTGATGAGGACCGGTTATCCACGCTTCTTTATGCACAAAAACATCCGGGAGCTGGTATTTCATATCATCCGCCAATTTGGACATCCAGGCGAGTCGGCGATGCCTTTTCCGTCGCTTAAGACTGCATCTCGATGCCACGATTTTATGGTGTCGCGACTCCCTCTTGACACCCACGCAAAAATTCGTGTTGTGAGTTTGATGGTAATGCCACTCTCAGCTTCTGAGACGTCGAGTGACGAACAACTCTCAAGTGTCACTGCGAAGCTTTACTGCATTTTATATCCTAAGATATATAACCACCTCGCCAAACAAGTGTGGCAGCATAGTGGAGATGGAATATCTAGTCGCCGGAGCGAATTCTGCCTGAAGCTGCTTGCAGATGGGTATGTGCTTGAACACAACCATTCATGCAAGGTGCCAATAAACATGCGAAAAGTCAACAAAGGACCTAAAAGGTATCAGCGATGTGATTCGGGGCCCAATGTAGCGAAGGAAACATCATTTCAAGTGCAAGGTTCAGCCAGCTTGGAAACCTCACACTCTGAAGGTTGTGAGTTTGACCAGTTCATTGAAGAGCGTTTTGGACGCAATCTCAGCCCATTGTTGGCCAACAACGCGAAACTGGCAGTGAAAAGAAGAATTGCTGGTTCTCTCACTGCAAATGTTGAGCTCACAGAAGCCCTTAAAAGCTCCTCAACTAATGGACGAATTGCGGGGTTATCGGAACAACATGTTTACTTGTATCCCACCGGGATGAGTTCGATATTTAATTCCCATCAGGCACTATTGATGGCCCGTGGTCAGCTGAAGAGTATTTGTTTTGGATTTCCCTATATTGATACTCTGAAAGTTTTAGAAAAATGGGGCCCTGGAGTTTTATTCTATGGCCATGGATCTTCTGAAGACCTCGACGATCTTGAACAACGCTTAGAATTAGGGGAAAGATACCTAGCGCTGTTTACCGAATTTCCGGGAAACCCATTGTTGAAATCCCCCGATCTCGAACGTATCCAGAATTTAGCTTCCAAATACGATTTCGCTGTCGTCGTGGACGAGTCCGTGGGAAACTTTATTAATGTCAATGTTTTGCCTTATGCGGATATCGTTGTCAGTAGCTTAACGAAAATATTTAGTGGCGACAGTAACGTCATGGGTGGAAGCGCTGTCTATAATCCCCACGGCCGGTATTATCAAGCGCTAAGGGATATTCTTGAAAGGGAATATGAGGATAATTACTGGGCAGAGGACGCTATTTTTTTGGAACGGAACAGCCGCGACTTTGTTTCGCGGATCGAAAGAATTAATGCTTCGGCGGAAGCTCTCACTGCCCGGTTAAAAGCGTCTTCACTGGGTTCGTATCCTCTGGAATTTAGAACACCGGTTCTTCTCACTGATTCGTGCATAGTCAAGGACCTTTATTATCCTAAATACAGTTCGACAATGCCGCTTTATGAAAAATGTCGAAACCCGAACGGTGGCTATGGAGGATTGTTTTCTGTAACATTCAATTCGACGGATGCAGCTATCGCTTTTTTTGATGCCCTTGAGGTGATGAAAGGCCCAAGTTTAGGCACTAATTTTACACTAAGGTCCGTTTGATTCTCTATTGATTTGGGTCCATTGAAGCCTAACCTATTTCAAAAGCTCCCCATACACATTATTGGCGCATTATGGGGAATTGGAGTGGGTAAGTATCGCCCGAACATATTTAGTTCCTTTCCAGCCTAATCGTCCGAAACAGGCAAATTCCTTTGGTGTCGCTTCAGATTTAATCAGAATCAGTGTCGGTTTAGAAGATACCCATATACTTGAATCGACCATTGATCGAGCTCTTGACACCCTAAGGCGTACCCAAGCTGCCGAATTCTGATCTTGCACTCTTATCCCCTTGTGCGTCTATGTGGCATTTTTTCGCGTAAGTATAGTGTTGCCCTTGGACTGAACCGATCTGTCGTTTTGTTGTTTTCACACCTAGGACTGTTGTAGTAGCAGACATGAGACCAGATACTTGTTGGTATAGCATGATGAATCAACTTCACAGTATATGTTCGGCTATCCGCCGAAAGTGAGAAATTGGACTTAATGATGCCTTCAACAGCAAATGCCAAAGCATGGGGATGAAGTATACAAGAAAATGCGCTTGAAATCAAAGTTAAAAAAAAAAAAAAAAAAAAAAAAATCAAAACAGATGTATATACAGCAAGACCTGTTCCACGCCATGTCCCGGTATGAGCAGAATATTTAGAAAAGGAAAAGGCCAAGGAAATAGTAAAATGAAGGAGAGACAGAAGGGAATAGCCAGGCCCAAATGCAAATTAAAATGTGATAAGAGCGTACTGTGATAAATTGATAGACATCCCGCCCTATGGACGAGACCACGGAACTGTATGCAGGTTATTTCTCTGAACCCATCAAGGCAATGCAGATCACCTAAAAGGCCGATCATACAGGCCATCGCCGCTTCCTACAGCACTGGCTGGCTGGCTTTTGAAGGCCCCAAGATCTCCGCTCTCCGTCCTGCGTAGAGCTTGCCTCATGGTTTCGATATTCAAATCCCCTGTATTAAATGTTCCAGCTGTCGGGCTATGCGAGTTGAAGGTAGGGCTGCCAGGCCCGCGACCTTTGCGATAGGGGGAGATTTCTAGCGCCCGAGATTCGGGAGACACGCTGGCTGGAGGCGACGTACCACGGCCATGAGAAGAGGACACTGGAGAATGGAAAGGAGATGGGGACCTATTTCGTGCTCCGAAAGTACTTAGTCCTCCCACATACGTGGAATCTCCTACAGAAATGTGGTCGGCAGTTTCAGCAAGTTCACCATGCACAACGTCGGCAAACGAAACGAAGCTCAGACGCCGGACATCGGTAGGGTCATGAGGAGCGCCATAATTAGACGCCGAATCATCAACGTCTGCCATACGCTGGGAATTCGCTTCATCACACCAGGACGCCGACAGTGCATGGTCAAGATGCCCGCTGACAGCGAGAGACGCAGGCTGATGGAAGTTGTGCGTGATAATTTCAACCGAGTCCGGATCCAATCGGACATCAGTTAAGGCGGCCGAGGAGGCATCGAGAATTGGGGGAATATGATTTTCTGTCATAATATGTGAGGGAATCGCCGGAGAGGTTTGGGAAGGGCCGATATCTTCTTGAACACTACGTTCAAAGATTTGGGACGAGGCTGGTGAATGCGTCCTTGGGGATGAAGGAAATTGCCGACCGGGAGAGGATGGAGCCATAGAGGCATTCTTCGTACCGTGAGGTGACACGGAAGACCTTCCTAGATTGAGAGGGATCAAAGGCGAAGGAGGTCTGACGGATCCGGGCGCGTTGTTTTGATGTAAAGACCTAATTTTGTATGTTTCCGGGACTGACTCATCACTGGTCACTGCGATTTTGCTTTGCATTTCTCCCTTTGCCCCAGTACCTCTGGATGGACCACTATTGCGCAAAAGGGGCCCAGGTCTGACGGTGGAACTTTGAGATGCAGCGGAGGTCCCAGCCATCGATCAGGCGAGTAACCATAAGGGTTGCGGTTTGAATGGGGCTGATTGCTAGATATGCAGGCAAGTATGGAGTACACAAGTGGAAAACTCAGAAAGTGGTGTTGAGGTTGCTAATATGGTATAATAAACTCGAGTTGGTATTAAATGGAGTGAGGTGATCATAAAGGTAATAAAATATTCTTGAAGGTTGACATTACGGAGTACTCCTTACTGAGTAACTATTGAGTTGACCGGTACTACGGAGTTAACAGTTAACCAGTGACGTCTTTTTGGTGCAAGGGAGCTTGCAGCAAAGCTACCCAAAGAGTCCAGAGCCAGTAGATGTAACTACATACTCCATACATTGTAACGAATTTCGCTCTGTCTCAAGCCTGGAGGAGCTGACCTAGGTGCATTTCAAACCACTTGGAGCCAAAAGCAGGATTGGGTATGCTTTAACCGCTAGTTAGATATCTAAGATGCTGAGGCCTCCACTGCAACATTCCAAGTGCCATAATTAAGTACGGGTTATATGGCATGTAACAATGGATGACTACACCATCTGTACTCCGTACAGGAGAAAAATATGTGACTCTTCAGATAGGCCCTTGCATTTGTCGCGGCTTGGACGCAACTGCACTGACAATGGTGTTCAGTGTACGGCGTACTCCGTACCAATCGAAGGTACAAGTTACTTACCAAGCAGGTGGTGTGATAGCCCTAGCGCAAAGGGTGACATAGTACTCCGTACTCTGTTCGGTAGGGTCGGAGTACGGAGTACTATACCCCTAAATGCCCACAGTATCCAGAACTAGCCTAAATTTGTCGTGTAGGGCGCTATAATGATAGAAACGTAGGTACGCTGCGTACTCCGTATTCTGTACTCCATACTCCGTACAGCACACATGCAGGCCGCGCTAGCCCTTGTCCAATCAGAGCAGCGCGCCTCATGGTCCTTTGAGAGAAATTCTCCGTTCAGGTTGAAACATTTCATGCTTCCAGCAAAAGTTTGGTGGCTGTCCATCATCCTCAATATTCATCCAGTTTTTCCCCCATAAATTCTATATTCTTTTTCTAACCAACTACTCCGTACAGAGTACATATTTCATAATTCCTGTCCCTTGGTTTCCTGACTTCAGAACACTCCTGTGCAAAACGAGCACACCATCCCTAGGCACCCTTTCCCCTCCACCATATTTTTTATTTTTTTTTTTATTTTTTTTCAAGGTCATAAGAAAGACGTATTGTGACAGTGCCACTATGCCCGCCCCAGCCCCTTTACCTAAACGTCCAATTCTAAGCCTACCTTTCCTCCTTCCATTCTGTTCCGAATCCACCGTTTTGGCCCAAAGGAATCAATCAACATACCGTCGCTTAAAACAACGCTTACGGGCCAAACCAGAGGCGTCCTTTGGCCAATCTCCGACTCAAAAATATGATCACATCGTCTACAACCCCCCTTCAAGCGCGCCCTCTGTTTACCGCACACCAACCAAGTTCCTCCCGCCCAACGATATCCGACGGAAATTGCGCTCTGATTCCGATTTCGATATTACCAGCACCCCCCACAGTCTTCCCCTTGTGTCCAAACGTTCATCTCCAAAGAAAAATATCTTGACGGCTAAGGAAGTGGATGAAATTCGTCAGCTCCGGCTGAAAGATCCAGTGACATGGAGCCGGGGGAATTTGGCCCGCCGCTTTGGCTGCAACACCCTTTTTGTTGCAATGGTATGTGAAGCGAGCGCGGAGAAGAAGGCGATCCAGAAGCAAGTTCTTGAAGCTGTCAAATCGCGCTGGGGAATCAAGCGAACAATTGCGCGAGAGGACCGTCAGCTGCGGAAAGAGGTTTTAGCAAGAGATCAATGACGTTCTGGCACGACTCCTGGAATTGGAAGATGTATACTGCGAGTCCGGTAGAAAAGAAATGGGCAAATTGCGTTAGACGATATTTTTACAAGTTAGCAAATTCGGGCAACGTGGCGATGGTATTGCCCTAGTCGGAGCAACTTCTTGGAAAGATGTGCCAGCCATTCGGCCCTTCATGTATTACTATCTACGATTTATTGTGTTCCCCTTTTATCCTTCTAAGCGGCCTGGTTAGGGGTTGGATAGCACGGTAGAATTCTATCATTATTGGAAGCCCAAGGGGGTATATCAAGTAAATATGTATGGAATGCGGAGTGCTCCGTACGCTCCTCGGCATTACAACACCTCGTGATAGCGGCTCTGTAACTACTCCCGAAAAACCAAGATACGACAAATTCCATACACGCCTAGGTGCCCACCTTCAATAGACGCGCATGTACTCCGTACTCCAGAGTTGAATACCCAAAAACCGATTCACCTTCAAAGCCTGGGCTTCGTACCTCTGATATGGAGACCGATATTTTGTGTCTTGATAAAATATGAAGCAAGCATGATCCTTGTGATTCACTTGGAGGAATTGCGTCGAATACTACCTTGAGTTTCGTGACCTACGTAATGATAATGAGAAAACAATTGTTCGTTCCCATCTCCACCGTAGGCAGCTGGGATCCTGACTCTTTCGGTCCCTCATCCGTGGTTAAGTTAATCCTTTGCCCTGTCTTTCCGCATCTAGCCATATCGGTCTTCCAATGTCCCCCACCAACCCCTCTTTCGATCGGATCCTGTTGTCGGGCGCATGCTTGCTCAAACAGTGCTTTTCTCCCACCCTCCACGCAAGATATCACATTCACCATCTGCATCCAAAAAAAATATCATTTCGCCATCCAATATTAGCAACTAGCTTTCAGCGAAGATCGTATTACGGCAACATCAGGGACGCAAACATGGCACCCCAGCTTGAGCCATACTTCAAAGAGTCGTGCCCCGTCAAACGTTCCTCGTTTATGACCATGCTGCTGACTGATGAATCAGGGTTGATAACCTCGCAGAGTCTTTTATTGATCGTGAGGACGCCTAGCAAAATCCCGGCAGTGTGGACTTACACTAACATTGGTCAAAGGTTTGCGAAAAGCGGTTGCAATTCCCTCAGTCTCTGCTCAAGATGAGAGAAGAGGAGATGTTGTCAAGGCGAGTCACATGGAGTCGGTCAACGGAAGTTCTATTAAACTGGTCTCTTACATTTTTTGACAGATGGCGCATTTTCTTGTTTCCGAGCTCGAAGCTCTCGGTGCCGAGGTAGAATTGCGTCCCTTAGGAAAAGAGCACGGGAGGGAGCATTTGGAACTCCCACCAGTGGTTCTAGCCCGCTATGGGAATGATACGAGCAAGCGCACGGTTCTTGTCTACGGGCACTATGATGTGCAGCCTGCTGCGAAGGACGATGGATGGGGCACAGATCCCTTCACCCTTACTGTCGACGACAAGGGAAGGATGTATGGGCGTGGAAGCACTGACGATAAAGGCCCTGTGCTGGGCTGGATCAATGCTATCGAAGCACACAAGAAAGCCGGCATTGAATTCCCTGTCAATCTCCTTTGCTGCTTTGAAGGAATGGAGGAATACGGCTCCCTGGGGTTGGAAGCGTTTGTCAAGGCAGAAGGCAACAGGTATTTCAAGGATGCAGATGCTGTGTGCATATCTGATAACTATTGGTTGGGAACCGAGAAACCATGTTTGACTTATGGGCTGCGAGGCTGTAACTACTATTCTTTGTCGGTGTCTGGCCCAGGTCAGGACTTGCACAGTGGAGTTTTCGGTGGAACGGCCCACGAACCTATGGTCGATCTCGTGACACTTCTATCACGCCTTGTTGACCCGGAAGGGAATATTCTTATCCCAGGAATTGCGGACCTTGTCGCGCCTCTATCAGAGAACGAGAAGGCGTTATATGATTCCATCAGTTATTCAATGGATGATTTCCATGAGTCTTTGGGAAGCAAAACCTCGATTTTCTCAACCAAGGAGCAAACCTTGATGCGCCGATGGAGATTCCCTTCGCTCTCTATCCATGGAATTGAGGGCGCATATTATGGACCGGGCGCAAAAACCGTGATTCCCGCTAAGGTTAACGGGAAGTTCTCTATCCGAACAGTGCCTAACATGCAGAGCGAGGATGTGACCAGACTGGTTACAGAGTATATCAATTCTGAATTCGCGAAGTTGAAGAGCAAGAACACTGCTGAAGTGTCGCTCATGCATGACGGAAAATGGTGGGTTGCCAGCCCCAACCATTGGAACTTTGAAGCTGCTAGCAAAGCTGTCGAACAAGTATTCGGAGTGGCACCAGATATGATACGTGAGGGTGGAAGGTATGGATACAATCCAACACTGTCACGATAATACAGGTAGAACTAACGGGTCGCAAGTATCCCCATCACTTTGACCTTTGAAGAGGCCACGGGCAAAAATGTGCTATTACTCCCCATGGGTAGCTCCACGGATGCTCCTCACTCCGCCAACGAAAAGCTCGACCGGCGTAATTATATCGAGGGCACGAAGCTCTTGGGCGCATATCTCCACTACGTTGCTGAAGAGCCCATGACAGCCTAACCATGGACAATAGCCTAAGATCGGGTGGCTTTCCAGAACAGCACCTAAATACACATCATGTATATTTTAGCCAGCTCGAATACTAAGCCTAGCCCCAGTGCGGGCCCAAATTCATTATAACGTTGGGATATCTGCAGCATAATTAGTTTTCAACAGGTTTAATGCTTAAAAAGATTGGTCCAGAAACCCAAGGTTGCTGTTTGTGGATGTGATGCTTGTGATCTTTATTCCTTTAAATGTACTCCGTACTTGGTAATGTTTCCGACCATCCAATGATTTTCACCACCCAATGACTACAGCTTCAAAATCAACCCTCCTTACAGAGCAATATCTCAACAACCAACTAAGATATTCAAATTAGATATTAAATACTAGTAAATAAGATGGAATATTACATATAAATCTTTATAGTAGTGTTGGCACAAAGTCTGGGGAGCAAAGATCAGATGAGGAGAGGTAGAGGAATAAGATAAGATAAGAGCAGATAAGATAAGAACTCTAGCTTGCTTGACACACAACAAAATGTGAGAAAGCAAAGAGTCTTGACAAGGAAAATCAAAAATAAGAGATTGTCCAAGTAAGAGATTTTTCAGATAAAAAGAGTGTGATAACACAACAACTAGAAAGAATATGATAAAGAAAATTGAATAGTTTGTTTAAAGAGCGTTATTGAGTTTATCTCTCAAAATTCAGATGAAAAGATCTTGTGGTTGCTGAGTAATAGTGGTATCTGTTCCAAGGTCCCTTGCCATACTGCATAGCCTAGACATCAGCTTTCGGCCATGGGTTAACGTATTCCACAACCGAGTGGGACAACCAAGCGAGCGGGACACCAAAATACACGTACAAATCTCAACTTTTTGCTCTCTTATATCTTAACAGGTCTATGTCTGATCATTATAAAATGAAGAAGATACTATACAGATATAATAAACTTTGTAAGTTATAAGAATTATTTAAATATAATAATTATTTCTTAAGTTATAGTATTTTATTATCTTTTTACTAGCATATATCAAATTATCTTTACAAATAATAGAGTTAAATAAATAAAATTGATAATACTGTTTATTAAGTGTCTATATACTCTGCATATAAATTCTAAAGTCTATATTCAACAATGTTGTTGAGATATAAGAGAGCAAAAAGTTGAGATTTGTATGTATATTTTGGTGTTTCGCTCGGTGGTGGATTACGTTAACTACTCCGTATGCCGTACGGAGTACTTACCGGAGTACGGAGTAGGTGAGGGTGATCTGAACGGGACGGGGCTAGACCGGATCTGGGCAGGCGGCCGACCCCAGCTGGCGACTCGCCAAATGATTTAAACATTACCGCGCGTGCTTTACGCGTTGGGAGTTGCCCTCACTCGCAAAATTTAATGCGAGATGCTTACCTGAGTAAAGTAACATAGGTCCTGTGTATAGATACTTTAGACCATGGGTCCTATAAAGCGAACCCATAATTTATCCGAGAGCCCGGATGTGCCATCTGGACAGCAACGTGAAAATGTGCGTGCCTCCAATCCCCAAAACAACTTTAAACCTGTTTCATTAACAAGTTTATTGACCACATAGAGAAAGCGAGCACGATTATCTGGTGCTTCGGTATCTGAGGAAGTCCATCCGTTCCTCCTATCCACACCCTCTACTTCGTCACTGGACCATACCGACGATGAACACGAATACAAGCGCGCGACCCAGGCATTGCGGGACAAGTATGAGATGCTCGGAGAGAATCGTCCTGTTGAGAATGGTATTATCGAGCGCGTAGATTGCTACAATTTCATGTGTCATGAGCATCTTTCCATGGAGCTGGGGCCACTGATAAACTTCATTGTTGGTAAGAATGGAAGTGGGAAGAGCGCTGTACTTTCAGCATTGACTATCTGTCTGGGTGGAAAAGCCTCTGCGACTAATCGCGGTCAAAGCTTGAGGAAATTTATCAAAGAGGGCAAGGAGTATGTTCATCCATGATTGTGATGTATCCGATTCGTTTCTAATATTTGATTCAGATCTGCTACGATTGTTGTTCGGATTAAAAATCAAGGCGACAGTGCCTATTTGCCTAATGAATTCGGCCGCTCCATTACTGTCGAAAGACATTTCTCCAAAAGCGGAACAAGTGGATTCCGAATCAAAAACGCTTCTGGTCGGGTAGTGTCAACAAAAAGGAGTGACCTTGATTCGATCACAGATTATTTCGCACTCCAAATCGACAATCCGATGAATGTCTTGACTCAAGATATGGCACGGCAATTTTTAAGTTCTTCTAGCCCCGCAGAGAAGTATAGATTTTTTGTCAAAGGCGTTCAATTAGAACAACTTGACCAGGATTACCATTTGATTGAGGAATCTATCGAGCATCTAAATACCAAGATACTCACTCACTCCGGTGAATTGAAAGATCTAGAAGCTAAAAGAGATAAAGCTAGGGCTCGATTAGCTTTGTCAAACCGCCATGAAGGTATTAGGGCCCGGTTGAGAAACTTACGTGCACAAATGGCATGGGTGCAGGTCGAGGAACAAGAGCGGGTACGCCGTAATCAATTGAAATGTGTGACGCTGCTTAATCAAGCTAACATTATTCAGATACGCGATAGCTTTGATGAGGAAATTATCAAGGCCACCCAGAAAATTACCGTTCTAGAGGGCGAAGTTGAAAGGTCCGACGCCTTATACCAAGATGCCGATAGTGCCTGTGGGATTGCTGTAAATCTAGTCCGAGAAGCCAAATCTGAATTGGATACCTTGCATCATAGCAAAAAAGAAATCCAGTCAAGGTACGATAGCGATGTTCAAGAACGGCATGAACTGCAGGTATGAACTTGCTCACGATTAGCAGCATCCAGCCGTACTTATATAATTGCTCCTCTAGGCGACACAACGTACGATACGCGATCATATAAAGGCGGCAGAAGTCCGAATAGAAGACGTGAAACAACAAATTGCACAAGAAATCCAAAGACTGGAAGATATCAATGGGGGAAGCAAGGCACAGAGACTCAGCGAATTAGAGGAGATGAACGCTGCTGTCGAGGCCGCCCGCAATCGCCATCTCGAACACAAGAAAGACATTTCTCGTTTACAACGTGAGATAGTTCAGGCAGAAAACAAAGTTAAGGATACAGGCGAACCGATTACCAAACAAAGACAGGAGATACATCAAGCTGAACACCACCTCCGTATCTTGATGAAGGACCGCCTGCAGCAGGAGAATGCATTACCTGAGACTATGTCAAAATTAATCAGGGCTATTCAAGGAGAAAATTCGTTTTGTCAAAAACCCATAGGCCCACTGGGGATCCACGTCACACTTCTTAAGCCTCAGTGGTCGTCTGTTCTAGAGAAGTCATTTGGGAACACATTGAGTGGGTTTGTTGTAACAAGCAAGCGCGATATGAATATCCTTTCTGGAATAATGCAACGTGTGGACTGGTAAGTATGAAGTGTCAATATACTCTATCGACTGTTCCCTAGGGCTATTAACTAATGTCAACAGTACTTTTCCTATCTTCATTGGAAATGAAGCTGGTACCATGGACACTTCTGCCCATGAACCAGAAACCAAGTTCGATACTGCATTGAGGATTCTTAAGGTAACCCAAGTTGTATTAGTGCTTGAGAACTTAGACGTACTACTAACTGTGCTTCACTGTCTGTGTAGATTGATAATGATCTAGTCCGTCGACAACTCATCATCAACCACAGCATTGAGCAAATGCTTCTTATCGAGGACTTGCGCGAAGCTTCCAGTGTGATGTTCACGAATGCGCCCCCGAAAAATGTGAGACGCTGCTACTGTATTGATGCAAGAGATAGGAGACGAGGCATCCATTTGGGATTTAGCCGGACTGGGGACCCCACCCAGTCTCCTCTTGGCGCATACACGGGAAGAGCCCGAATGAAAACAGATATTGAGATTCAAATCAGGTAAATGACGCTGGATGATGGGTGTGATTGGACATATGCTCATCGATAATTCCTAGAATGCAACATGATGTGATAAATACGTTAAAAGATGCCTTGCGTGAGCTAGAAAGCGAGCACAGAAATGCCCTAAACAATCTCCAGAAATGCAAGCAGGCCCTTGTGAGGCACGAACGCCGAGAACGAGACCTACACCTTGAAGTACAAAAGGCAGAGGATTTCATCGAGCAGTTAAAAGAGGCTATAGAAAGGGATAGCGTGGAAGATGGTCGACTTGACTGGTTGAAAGTCGCCCTAACCGAGTCCGAAGACGACAAACGTGTGGCTGAGGCTTCGTATGAAGATGGTATCAATGCACTCGACGCTATGATGGAGAAGCTGAAGTCAATCAAACGGGAACTTGCCGCTAAAGATGCGGAAATTGTAGCTATCGATCGGAAAGTCCGCATCCTCGAGAGCGAAGAAAGTAGGGCTTCTGCTAGGCGGAGAAAGGCTCTTGACGAGAAAAATGCTGCAATTAGCCAAGTCGAAGCCGCGATAAGGGATAAAATTGAAATAGAGCGCAATCGACAAGAGACAGTTGCTCGAGTCATAGATTTCAGCGAGAAGGCAAGCATGGTTGCTCCCCGTGTCAACATCGATGATGGAGAAACTCCACGGAGTCTGGATAAGAAGTTGGAAAAGCTAACACAAAGTCTACAACAATATGAGAAGGAGTACGTAAAATGACCCTTTTCACATGTGAGTATGCTAACCAATCATAGAATGGGAGCATCTCGAGAAGAAATTGCGACTGCAGCCGCCGAAGCTGACGCAAAATGCGAGCGCTCTAAAGAGCAGATAACAGATTTCAAACAACTTTCCGAGGTACTATCAACCTTTTAACGTTAAGCGCAAGTTGTGCCGTTAACACATATCAGATGTTATTTGATACCCTTCGAAATCGACGGGAGAGATGGGACAAATTCAGATCACATATCTCTGCAAGAGCTAAATTGCAGTTTACATACCTGCTAAGTGAGAGGAGCTTCCGTGGAAAGCTCCTTACGAATCATAAGGAAAAACTTCTCGATCTTCAGGTATAGTTTTGGCCTTGACCCTGGATATAATGTAGAGAAACTAACTATTTAGGTGGAACCTGATTCCACTAAAAAAACCTCTGGAAGGGGGACAAAGACCCTTTCGGGGGGGGAAAAATCATTTTCCCAGATCTGCCTCTTACTGGCACTATGGGAAGCAATGGGCTCTCCAATTCGTTGCTTAGATGAGTTGTATGTCCGCGCCATGTCTTGTGACTAAAGGCCTAAGTGGTTCTGATCTTTTCTTAGCGACGTGTATATGGATTCGGTAAACCGCAAAATCACGATCGAATTGCTAGTACGTTGTTACTTGGATTCCTTCCCTGTCGAGTCTCTTTTACATCAATGCTGATGTTCTTCCAACAGATGAATGCAGCTAGGCGGTCCGTTGGGCGCCAATTCATTTTAATTACCCCAGGTTCAAGGGCAGAAATCAGAGTTGCTCCGGACGTGCGGGTTATTGAGTATGTGTATCTAAGCAGTAATAGCGGCGAGCGGCCCCATGCTAACGAATCCGGCAGGCTTGCTGAGCCTGAGCGAGGTCAAAGCACCATTTCCTTTGGAAGATAGTGGTAGTAAAGGTAACTTCCTTCGATAACGGAAAGTGAACGGTCGAATCCTAATTTCCCAAAGCACCATCAAGTACCTCTCATGAATAATGAAACCCTCGACGAGCATGTAGCTATTCTTGAACATCACCATCTTTCCGTCCTAGTCCCTCTTGGACGACCTACTCTTCCCTTAGGGTTCTTTCTAATCCAGAACGGCGAAGTTAAGCACAGTTTTCAGGCAGGATATGACAAGGAAATATGTCCACGCATACGTATTTTGGGAGCTCCCGCAGAAATTTCAACGTAATATAATGACCATTTGGGTTCTTGCCTCAGCAAGATCCTCGGCTTGCAAGTATGATAGCACAAGTATTATTACTTAGTTACCCAGTTACATGGCCACGGGACCTTAAACAGCCATATCACCAAATCACTTGCAGAAAATCACCAATTTGCCTTCTTCATTGTCTTCAGTTTCTTTAATATAGGCTCTTCATCCAGAGTACCGAATACTCCATACTATGTATGATTTATTTAAACAGAACCATATACTATTAGATACGAAGAAGATATACGGAGTACAGTGAAATTGTTATAATCAAGATACAGAGTCTAGAGTACTTTATATGTATGCTTGAAATAATCTTGAGATTATTTAAAATTATTTAGTTAACTTGTTTACCCTAGAGTAGATGGTTATTTGACATTTCTCAATCTACCATCCCTCTGTCTCTCATACTTCATACACTCCCTGATGACTTATAAGCAGCAACATTTGTAGCCAGTAAAAATATATAGAATGTGTAGAATTGTGACAGAGCTTCTTAACCAGTTTTGCTTTTATTCAATAGTAGTTAATATTTGCCTGCAGAATGATTGAGATGACGCTGTGTCAGAAATTGGTCCTGTATTTTGTGTAAGAAAAAGTTCATATGGAAATATGGCCATTTGGTGCTGTGTTTACAGAGTACATAGCTGATGCAACTAAAAGGAAAAAAGAAAAGAAAAAAAAATAAATAAATAAAAAAATAAAAAATTGAAAGAAACGGAAATAGGCTTGACAGAGTTCGATATTGTGCATGGAGCACTCCGGATGGGACAGAGTACTCCGTACAGTGGGAAATTAGCTTGCTGATTAATAAGCAGGCATAATGTACGGAGTACTCTGTCCACTGTACAGTCGATTTCGTTAGTAACCAATTGTCTTTTTGTGATTTTCCTTCCAGTCTGGCTCTCCACCCTCAAATTCGAACATTTCCTGATCAAGATCTTCCACATCCTCTCAGAACAACAAGCAGCATCTTTGGCTATCGTATTCTATCATAATTTAGTTGACCTCTCTTTTCTTTTTGCTGAAGGCCTCGCCCCAAGCTTGCGAACCGACCGTTTTACCGAAGCTGAAATCAGATCATTACTTCTCGCGAGAAACCATCCCCCCGTGAATTGTCGGTTCTCCCAACTTACTACAGCTTCCATTATCCTACGCCCTTCTGGCATTGCCTCCACGACTAAGTTGAGCCGATCGATCCCCAGCACCCAAACGACTCTACTCTCCGTTTCGCTTCATACCAAAACACCAAATCATCATCCTTACTGCCCATTTCAGAGACACAACAATCCCTGTTTTCTCTCTTTGTTTCTTCACGATGGCAGAAGCATTGGCTTCGCAGCTGAACAAGGCCAAGTTAGGGTCCGTTTTCTCCATTTGTGTTTCTAGTGATGAAGAATTATTGATGCGAATGAATGTAGGGACAATGGCGCAGAAACCAAGTGGAAGGAACAGCTTAAACTTCCCCCAAAAGATACAAGGACACAAACAGAGGTGACTATGATTATATTGTGGTATGAAGCCAATCACTGTCCAGTGCTGACTCCTCGCAGGATGTCACAGCCACAAAGGGTTTGGAGTTTGAGGATTTTTATATCAAACGAGAATTGATGATGGGAATATTTGAGGCTGGCTTTGAGAAACCGTCTCCTATCCAAGAAGAAACCATACCCGTTGCACTTACCGGTCGTGATATACTCGCTCGGGCAAAAAACGGAACTGGGAAAACAGCGGCCTTTGTCATACCAACTTTAGAACGCACCAATCCCAAAATCTCGAAGACGCAGGCCCTCATTCTCGTACCTACAAGAGAGTTAGCGCTTCAAACGTCACAAGTGTGCAAAACCTTAGGCAAGCATCTCGGTATCAATGTGATGGTAACCACTGGGGGTACTGGCCTACAAGACGATATTATTCGATTGAGTGATACTGTCCATATCATAGTTGGTACACCCGGAAGAATTCTCGACCTCGCAAGCAAGGGTGTGGCAGATTTGTCTGAATGCACTACATTTGTAATGGATGAGGCCGATAAGCTTCTGTCACCGGAATTTACACCTGTTATTGAACAACTACTGTCATTCCATCCCAAGGACCGCCAAGTTATGCTTTTCAGTGCTACCTTTCCAATGATTGTGAAATCTTTCAAGGTAGACCCTTCACTCCGATAAACTTGAAGGAAATGCTAAATATTATCTAGGACAAGCATATGCGAAATCCGTACGAGATCAATCTCATGGATGAACTCACATTACGCGGTATCACACAATATTATGCTTTTGTTGAAGAAAGGCAGAAGGTCCATTGTCTAAACACTCTATTTTCCAAATTGCAAATCAATCAGTCCATTATTTTTTGCAATTCAACAAACCGAGTGGAGTTGCTTGCAAAGAAAATCACCGAGCTTGGGTACTCCTGCTTTTATTCTCATGCGAGAATGCTTCAACAAAATCGAAACCGTGTTTTCCATGACTTTCGGAACGGTGTTTGCCGTAATCTTGTCTGTTCGGACTTACTCACTCGAGGAATTGATATCCAAGCCGTTAACGTCGTCATAAACTTTGATTTTCCGAAAAACGCTGAAACGTATCTTCATCGAATTGGCCGTTCCGGTCGATTTGGCCATCTAGGCTTAGCAATCAATCTTATCAATTGGGATGATCGGTACAACTTATACAAAATTGAACAGGAGCTTGGAACCGAGATTCAACCGATACCGCCATCAATTGATAAAAAACTTTACGTCTATGATACCCCCGAAACAATCCCACGCCCTATAGCAAATGCGTCTACAGAACGTAACCCACCTGCACAACTTGCTCAGAGTTCTGACAATCAAAACCATCGCCAAGCTCACCATATAAGTGGGGGGCACGGGCAACAAACAGCAAATCGAGGGCATTCACTCCGGGGATCCTACAGGGGTGGTCGTGCTCAGGGTCACCGCGGTGGACATCCAGAGAACAATCGTACGAACCCAATGTCTTCTCGCTCGAATATGCCAACTTCTACTACTGCATCCTAAGTTACCGCGATTTGGATGCTTTTCGGCGGATCGAGTCCGACGCAATCGGTTCGTAAAATAGATTCACGCCACACTTATCTCTCCCCTCTATAGTTCGACTCGTTTACGCTTGAATTCTCGCATTTCCTTTTTCCGTTTGTTCGTTCCAGCATTCTCAGAGATCCACCATGCCTGGGATCCCGCTTCCTCATCTTCAGTGGACTACCTTTTCCGCTGTTGCTTATATCACTTCACCGGGTTTGGTTCCTCGATCGCCTTGCTCCTATTTCAACGGTCGATTTACGAATATGTATCATACTGCCCATGTCAGCACTCGGTTTTAACAGCTCCATGCATCGAATTCTTATAAATAGGCGCTGGGGCTAGGGCTATATGATTTGAATTCGGTTTTGTCACATTTGTTTGTGACCTCTCTTTGGTGACCGGCTGCAATCCGCATTTTCAGCGCAATGGTGAATGTCGGCGTTTTAGTCAATCTATTTTTGCGGGGCATATTTTCTCATTCCAATGGGCTACAGCCTGCCACTGATGGGATTTTAGCACTAGATGTGCTTGTTTACCACGCACTCAGGCCAGATTTTAGTTTGGTGTTATGCTGAGGAGCAAGAACCTGTTCAACGCAACATGCCTCTATATTTCAGCTGACATTGATACTCATCCAAGTATGTTTCTGGGTTCCTGCTGGCAACTGATGTCCTCGATGACGATATTATTTTTGTGCCATGAATCCCCTTATCAAGAATATCAAAATTCTACCCAATATCCAAATCGCACCATTTTGATGCGAAGCAGGCCGCACCGGCAATTCTCTCCACCTCATGTTCGGGTTCTCTTTGTCCGCCTCATCATGAGGGCCAAGCAGTCAATCATCAAATTTTAGCTCCACAAAACACTGAACTCTCACTGAAAAACGAGATTTAAAAAAATTAAAAAAAATAAAAAATAAATTAATAAGTAAAATTTTTTTTTTTTTTTTTTTTTTTGGGTGGGGGTTGTTCTTGGGGATTGCCTGCGGGTTTCAACCCGCCGTTTAGATAGTAGTATCTAGTCAAGACTCATGAAATGGAAAGACATACCCTCCCAATCCTCTCTCCGATTTGGTCAATAATTTGTGAAAATTCGAATCTTTAATCACTCGGTGCTGCGGAGAATTGTTCCCCGTTGCCTGCGCCAAATCAAGCACTTTCGGTTCTCCTCCTGCGCCGTAGTTAGGTAATGTACTGTACCTAAGTTGGATGGTTTATTGTGGAGGCCTTTTTGGTGTTGCCAATGGCGCTGGAAGCTATTTAATACTTGATGCTTGGAATTCACCGTTATTTCGCGAATTTACACCACAAGAACTGGTTTCATAATCCACAGCCTCGCATCATGCCTGACAGCGCAGATCGTGAACAGAAGCCGAAGGTTCGCTCTAGCATTCCAAGTTTTGCCAGGCCACTACTAACTCCACACCGCGAAGCCCAGCAGTCTGCGATCAATAATTGCTGGATCCACGGCGGGAGCTGTTGAAATCTGTACATACCCTTGAAGTTTTCTTTTATCATTCTCTTTTGCGGATTTTGAAAGGGTTGCTGACCATCCTGCCTCAGCAATCACATATCCTGCGGAATGTAGGTTTTCCATGGAAGCCTGAATCGCGACGGAGACCCGACCACCTAACGTTTCGATTGCAGTCGCAAAAACAAGAACCCAATTAAACCGCCGATTACCGGATGGAAAGAAGCTACCTTGGCCGCCTTTTGGCAAGGCATGGTATGCAGGATGTACGACACTAATTGTGGGAAATTCATTGAAGGCGGGAATCCGTAGGTCTATCCATTGAGCATTGACGCTGGAGCTTAAAAAGCAACCAACTAATCTTTTATTGATTACAGGTTTCGTGGCATTTGACACATTTAAATCTTTGCTTCAAGATAGAGATGGCAAGATATCAGGTCCTCGAACGGTTCTTGCCGGCTTTGGTGCCGGCTTCACCGAGTCCCTCTTGGCAGTTACCCCCTTTGAGAGTATTAAGACACAATTGTTTGTGCTCCTTACTTTTTACCCTATGCCCTTCCTTTACCTGGTTGCGATCCGCTGGTTTGGATCCAGGGAATTTACCCCGTAGTTCTGACAACATGCAGAATAGATGACAGGAAAGCCTCTAAGCCCCGAATGCGGGGATTTCTTCATGGGACGACGGTGATCTTCCGTGAGCGAGGCATTCGCGGGTTTTTCCAAGGATTTGTTCCCACAACAGCGCGACAAGCCGCAAATTCGGCCACCAGGTTTGGAAGTTATACGACTCTTCGCCAATTTGCTCAGGGATACGTTGCACCGGGGGAGAAACTTGGCACCCTAAGTACCTTTTTCATTGGAGGCATGGCCGGGCTGATAACGGTGTATGTCCAAGTATTGTTTTGCAAATCGTCAAGAGCTAACACGTATTTCAAGCTATGTCACACAACCACTCGACACTGTTAAAACAAGGCAAGTACAGATCGAACTCACCTATCACATCTCTCTGTTTTGATACTTGTGCTTCACCTTTTTTACGGTCGAGCTAATGCCGAGTAGAATGCAATCAATCGAAGCAAGGAAGAATTATAAAAATAGTTTTGTATGCGCCGCGAAGATCTTCAAAGATGAAGGCATCTTCACTTTCTGGTCTGGCGCTGTACCGCGACTTGCAAGACTGATTTTAAGTGGCGGAATCGTGTTCACCATGTAAGTCTGCCATTAGCAAGAGTCCTATCCCTATAAAACTCGCAAGGCTAATCTCAGACTTAGGTACGAGAAAACAATGGAAAGTTTGGACGCGCTTGATCCAGAGAGAAAGTATATCTAAACACTGGTTTTATAAATAGACTATCAATCTGTTCAAGATATCCTTGTAAAGTATGCGCGACATGGAAGGAGTTGGCGGTTTACCTCTGATCATAGTCTTTGGCTTATCTGGCCGTCCTAGTCCTGGATTTTCAGAGATCTTCTCTTTATATCAAACTAGTCCATAAAATAGTACCCCGTATGGAGTACGTTGATCTATTATGCTCTAGCGCGTATCTTTCTTGTTCGGTCCTTTCTTGGATATCTCGTTTGGTTGCTTCGACCATTCCTCCCCACACAAAACTCCAACCTCCTGATCGACAAGCCAATTGCTCACACTTTCCATAATATTATCAAGTCCTTCACCACCATCAAGCACACTACCGAGATTATGGATCGTCACGCCGCTGCGGTGGTCCGTACAGCGATTTTGTCCAAAATTGTACGTGCGAACTTTATCTCCTCTGCCCATTCTAGCAACCCCTCCCATTATCCCCCTTCGTAATTCCACAAGTTCCTGTTCCCGCGCTTCACGTCTCATCTGAGCGATTTTAGAGCGAAGCAATCGCCAGGCTTTTCTGCGGTTTTCATGTTGAGAACGTGAATCCTGCACCGCGACAACGGTGCTAGTTGGGACGTGAGTAAGTCGTATAGCAGATTCTGTTTTGTTTACGTGCTGGCCTCCGGCTCCACTTGCCCGCATCTTTTCCGACTGCACATCCTGCGGGTTGATATAATAATCCGAATTTGGGTCGTCAAAATTAAGAGCACTATCATTCTGCTCGGAGAAGCTAGGTAGGATCATAACGCTGACAGCGCTAGTATGAACACGGCCCTTCGCTTCAGTAGCTGGAATTCGCTGGACACGATGGACTCCGGCCTCGGTACGGAGGATATTATAGCTCCCGGGGGCCTCGATTTCCATTACCGCTTCAGAAAGGCGGTCCTCAGATCCGCTACCTCCAGCGCCGTCTTCCACATCTTTTTTAAGAATGGCTGTTCGGAGGCCATGGCGTGAACAAAATGCTAAATACATACGTAAGAGCTCCGAAGCGAAAAGGCCAGCCTCGTCTCCACCTGCGCCGGGTCGGATTTCAACCAAACACGGGAGTTCGGCGAATGGGTGCCGAGGGATCAGGCTCTCTTTTAATTTCCCTGACAAAGCGAAAAGACTGGATACGGTGGTCTGAAGGTCGTCCGATGCCAGTTCTCGAAGTTCCGGATCGCTAGACGGGTCGTCAAGTAAATGATTCAACTCTGCTATAGACTGGTGGTAGTGAGAAATGGCACTTTGCTGTCGAAAGCAACTTCGTAAACATACTTCATGCGCCTTATCCCATTCCTTGAGAGCTTGCACCGTTGCCGTTAACTCCCCCACTCTTTTGGCCGTTTCTTTTTCAAATGAGCCAGCAAGGCGTTCCGAAAGAGTCGCATGCTCCCTGGCAAGATTTCGAGCATGATTTAGGAGGGCAGGACTTAGCAGTCTCTCGGGAGCAACTACGCCAATTAATTTTCACTTTTAACAGCATAGCCTTCATGATAGGGCAAATACGTACCTGAGCTGTAAAACCGGGTCCATTTTCTGAATTGCCTTGCCTCACCAAGTCGCATATATCGGGACAGACATCTCGAGCATACCCACGGGGTACCGAACATATTCCGTCAATTGTATCGTGACATTCCTCATCCTCCTCTTGGTCTACTCTGGTAAATTCGGAAATTCGAGGACTCTCCTATTTAGCGGCTTGATTGATTTGATTGATTGATTATGTCATCCACCATCCCAGTGTTCGCGCACCCTAACCCCTTTTGGGCTTAGCGCACACGTGACCTCACATAATCACTCTCAGTCTGACTCTTTTCTGCTGCCAAGCTCCATCTCACTGTAAGAGATGAGATCTTGCTAGTCTCTTTTGTAGCAGTACAACCAAGATTAGTTTTCCATGCTCTAACAGGTTATAAGCTTCTTTATCATGCAATAGTTCTTCTTACCTTCTAAACAGAGTAGTAAAGTAATTGCAAAGTGAAGAGAAATTCAATTTTATCTTTTCTGGTGATTGATTCACTTGAATAAGTCATTTATAGATCTATCTTATATGATCTCTATTTTCTTCACTTAGAGAATTAAGCATAAATTTGGCCTTTCTCACTCTCTCTCTTTTTCTCTTTTTTTAATTATTAAGAAAAGCAAAAAACTGATCAAATAAGTTGCTGAATCTCTAGATTTCTTCAAAGAGAATCTGTTCCTCTAGCTATAATATTGTCTTCAGATTCAGAGAGCCTGATTATTAGTATATTCAAGCCAATAACTGAATATCTGAGCAATATAAACAAGCAGTCAAAGATAATTACATTAAATCTTTAATATAGCTACTTGAAGAAGTGTTTCACAAGAGAGCAAATCAGAAGCTCTAATTTCTAGATTTTACAATATTAAGATCATGTTAGTTCTTCACTGCTATTTCTTAGATGCTGAGGTTGCTGCTGTTTAGCAGATTATGAAAAGCACAAGTAATGATAATCTCTTGAATTCTTCTTCTTCTTTTTATAATTATCAAAAGTCTTTAAATTCAGTCTGTGAATATATTTTCTTAAATATATTATAATAAGCAAATCTTCTTTTACAGAAGAGATATTTTCTAACATCAGACAGGTGAAGTATAGAATAACTGTTCAGTCTATAGTGGAAGATACTATATAAAGAGAGACAGAAATTCTGTAAAGATTCTTTTAAAAGAAAAATATCAATATTGCTAAGTTTATTTCTACTTTGAAGTTTACAAGCTATATATATTTTAAATATTTTGAATATTTATATATTTCAAATTTATCTCTTGATTATATAAAGCTTTTTCTTTCAAAATATAAAGTATAAGCTCTTTTGTACAAGATATCTTCCAAATCTTTTACTACTATAAAAGACTTTTTCTATCTCTCTCAATCTGTTGATAAGCTTGACTTTAATAATTAAATTCATTAATTTACTTACTGGTAATATCAGCTAATCTTTGCAAATTTATAGTAATATATTAATTCTGAATCTGATAAAGTTCTCTTGACAAATCTAAATTTAAGAAAAGATAAAGATAAAGCCAATCATTATTTCTGATATCTCTTTAAATTTTTTACATTTTGTTATGAATATAGATCTAGACTAACTAAAAATCAGATAATGTTGAATGTTCAGAGGTATTCATATAATCTCAACTCTGAATATATAAGAAACACATAATTTGCACAGATTGTGAGAATCTCAGTATTCAGTCTTCTAGTTAGAGAATCTTTATATTCTATACATGACTTTTTTTCATCAGTTGCAGGCATTGAATCTACTTGGCTTTTTTATACTTCAAATTCTGGAAAAATCTACATAATCTATATTCAGGTTCTTCTAACATTCTTGTGGTTCTCTATTGTTTATATTGTACTGTATAGTATGTTTCTTTCCTTAGTTACACTTTATCAGAGTCTACAAACTCTGATAGATTCTGATATCTTCTGATATCAGTCTGTAATCATGTATATGTAGATAGCTCAGTTCTTTTTGATTGAAAGAACTCAAACAATTCTATTCTCAGATCATATCTGATAGCATATCAAAAAAATTATCTCTCTGTTGGACATGTATCTTCATGATACATCTCCAACAGAGTGGTCAAGATCTTGTTCTTTGATTTGAAAATTAATATGCAATCAACTGTGATTAGGCTGGTATTTGAGACTAGAATATTATGAGCCTAGCTGAAGTTGCTAGCTAAGACTCTATATACACAAACATACTGCTTAGGGAGAAAGAGAAAGAATGGTAGGTGAGTGTATGTACAATATATTTGCAACATTGGTGTGTGGTGCTAAGCCAAAAGAGGAATAGCATAGAGGTCTTCTACATGGTATGCTATTAAGAGTTTACCTCAAGAAGAGTAGAGGTCCAACTTTCTACAATACTCTCTCTTCTGCTGTTCAGGCATTGTTCTGTTGTTGATGTTTACAGATGCTAGAGATCTTATCTTGATACTTATAGTGTTCTTATTTGTCAAGAGCTACTGTCTTCTTTATAAGTGTGGTATCATTTTATGTTGGGTGTGCATATTCTTTCTATTTGACAAGATATTCAAGATGTTAATAGTTTCTCTACTTCTTGAGAATATCTTCTATTTCATACTTCTTCTCTTTCTCAGTAGTGATCTCTAGTGGCTGCCAATCTGACTGTTGCTGGCTAGGGAAAAGGTCTGTGGCAGCTGGACAGAGAAGCTGCACATGAAAGACATTGTGAATCTCCAGTAGCATATTCAGATGGTAGCTATGTGAGCTAACCATTCCAATAATTGTGAACTTGATATTTTTTGCATCTAACTTCTTGCTTATATGATCTGTCTTGATGTTGCACAGGTCTAGACAGACTTTGTCTTCTATCTTGAAGTTTCATAATGTAAGAATTTGCCCGCGAACCTCTTACACAGACAAACAACACCCACAAGGGTTCAGGGCCTCAGCTCACAAGCTGTTGAAAGTACATGTGTCCTTGTGAAGCACTAAGTCATATGCTCACAAGCACACATAAAAGGCCACCACTGCACAAATTTCTTGTTGGAAGCCAGTGGCAATCTTGTCTACAAGTTGTATATAGCTACTAATACCAGATCTTTTACCTTGTGTACTTTTTTCTACATACAATTTCTTCTATAGATTCATTATTACACCAATCCACACATATAATTTTCACATTTTGCCACTCTTCTTTGGTAATGCCTGACAATAATATTAATATAAAGAAGTCAATTCTCTGAAGCTTGCAAATCTGAGATACTAGCAGAAAATCTACCTGAAGAACAAACTCAAGTTCATGAGAAGATAACAAATCTTGAAACCATCTCAGCTCTCTTAACTGTAGATGAAACCAAAACTAGTATTATAATCTTAGAGAGGAAGTCTACCTTAACATCAAGAGATGAAATTCAACAACTTTGCAAGAAAATCAAACTACTAAAAAGAATAATGAAATAGCAAGAAAAGTTGAATACTCTTCAGATTACTCAAAAGCACTCATGAAGTAAATCTCTTGATATAATTATCTCTAACTCAATATCTGCAAAGTATCTGTCAGTCTTGAGACTATTACAACATACACAGCTCTATCAGACTGGCTTCTATATAAAATATCAGTAGTTTATCTTCAGTATTAAATCCACTCACAATACAAGTAAATTAGATGATGAGAAATCTCTTGTGTATGCTCTCACAGAACTTAATTATATTGAAAAAAATCTCTGAAAGATTTATCACAAAAATAACCTATTAAAGAATAACTGGAATGATCTCAAGAAATTTCTATATGCAAGACTAGAAGACTCAGCAAACTGTATATAAAACTCTTGATAAGTAATCTTTAATCTTCACAAGAGTTTAAATAAAACTGACCAAGTCTACTGCCAACAATTTCTAGAGCTTGTAACAAAAATTGATGAAGAATTTAAAAGCTTTGAAAAAATGAAGAAGAACCTATATATAGAGAACTTGAATGAGCCTATGTGAGCTAAACTAAATAAACAGCTGGAAATACCAGATAATATTAATGAGATAATAGTACTGACTATCTGACTCTGATTAAGTGTGACAGCAGCTCTTGAAAAGAATGCCTTACATGTAAAGTCTACTAATCTAGTTGAAAGTGCTTGCAGAGATATAAAAACTGATAACTTAAAACTGTAAATAGATAAGAGAAGTCAATCTCAGAGATCTGCTCAGAAGATAAGAAAAGATCTTATCAAGAATTATAAAGCTTTAAGAAAAGAAGAGAAGTGCTTTAAGTATAGTTAAAAGAGATATCTCATAAAAGACTGTTTCAAGAAGAAGAGTAGCAAATAGAAAATTGAGAAGCCACAAGTAGATAAAATTAATATAATAAAGTTGTTCAAGAAAAGTCTTCTTGCTCTTCCCTCTATTATTCTAGATGTGTGAAGTTCAACTGACAGAAGTATCATCTGGTCAGCACTAATAGACTTTAATTGTCAATCTCTAGTGATTAGTTTGTGATTGGCTGTGAAGCTAGTGCTAAAGATGCACAAGATGCTTATAGAGATTGAAACTGCTATAAATTATAAGAATATCACTCTTGTAAAAGAAATTATGAATATATTCTTTAAAGTCTGTAACTTTCAGAGAAACTGGCAGTTGTTTCATGAATAAGTAATAGTTATGAATATAAAAGATGAGATGCTAGTGAATTTGAGCTAGCTGCAGTGACACAATCTCAAGATATATTTCAGAGAACTAAGACTAGAGTTTCAAACTATATGTTGTGACCTGCTTGCAAAGATTAAACCAGTTAATCTCTCAGAGCTAGTGAAGAGAGAAAAGCTCATTTACATGATGACTTTCTGTAAATCAGAACAGATGATGACAGTATATCTAGATCTTCAGATACTAAAAGTCTACTGTAAACTTGTGAAAGTGTTTAGCAACAAGAGGGCTTGGAAGCTGCCATTATACTGTAAAGATGATTTGGCCATAGATCTTGAGCTGAAAAAGCAGTCAGAATTTGAAAGAATGTACAGACTTTTGCAAGCTGAATAAGAAACTCTTTATAAATATCTGAGCAGTGCTCTAACTTATAAGTTCATCTGCTCTTTCAAGTCATCTACAGAAGCACCTATTCTGTTCACATTCAAGAAGAATAGTAAACTAAGAATGTGTGTAAATTATTGTGATCTGAATTCAAAAATGGTCAAGAATAGATATTCTCTACTACTAATTGAAGATATGTTGTATAAGCTTGTGGGAGCTGCAATATTCACTCAGTTAGATATCAAGAATGCCTACTATAGATTGAGAATTTGTAAAGAAAATGAGTGAAAGACTGCATTTTGAACTTTACAGAAGCTATTTGAGTACTTGATAGTGCTTTTTGAACTTGTAAATGCACCAGCAGCCTTCTAATTATATATTATGAAGGCACTTAGTAAATATCTGAATGTATTTGTGGTAGTCTATCTTGATAATGTGGTTGTGTACTCAGCTTGTAAGAAAGATCATGAGAAGCATGTGAAATTAGTACTTAAGGCACTCAAGAATGCAGGTCTTTATTACAAGCTAGCAAAGTGCAAGTTTAATGCTTGCAAGATTGACTATCTTGAATATATTATAACACCAGAGAATATTCTTATGAAGAAGAGCTGTATGAACACTATTCTTGACTAGCCAGAGCCAACCAGTAAGAAAGAGATTCAGATCTTCTTAGAATTTATGAACTTTTACAGGTACTTCATCTCAAGATTCTCTAAAATAGTTTGCAGCCTGACTGCTCTTCTAAAGAGAGGAGAAGCAAAGCTAAGCAGGCATGTGTAAAGAGAGATGAGAAGAGAGACCAACACTTTCATGACTAAGGAAGGTTGTAAAGTCTTTATAGATCTGAAAAGAGTGTTTGTAAAAGCTGTTATGCTTCACCATTTTAATATGGAATGGAAGATCAGACTGAAAACAGATGCATCTAACTTCATAATGTGTAGTATTTTATTACAGCTAGTGAAGAATGGTGTTTAGATTCCAGTTGAATTTTATTTGTGGAAGATGCAATCTGCAAAGATGAATTATAACATTCATAATCAAGAACTGCTTATAATTATGGAGTTATTTAGATATTGGTGCTGCTGGTTGAAAGACTTGTGAATACCAGTTCAAGTTCTTACAGATCATGATAGCTTGTGCTATTTTCAGACTGCTTAAGATCTCTTGTGAAGACAGGTCTGCTGGACACAAAGACTGACAGTCTTTTAGTTCATGATTGACCATGTGAAAGAAATCAAGAATCTGGCAGATGAACTCTTATAAAGATCTGATTATGTTAAGAAGACTAGTCTAGATAATACAGAGAGTTATAAGACTGCACACCAACTGAAAGTAATACTTGTGAAGAAGCAAGACCACAGAAAAGTTAGAACTGACAGCTCAAGTTTCTTCTAATCAGAAAGAGAAGAGAGAAGATGAGAATATGCAACTCATCTTCACAAAGCTTTAGATTGCAATCAAGAAACTACTTGTGAAGATTGTCTTGAAAGATACATGCAAAGTAAAGAAGATTACAATACAGGTTCAGAAGACTAAAGATCTGATTTGTGAGAAGAATTCTTATAAAAAGAGCAGCTCCAACCTGTTAGCATTATTGTCAAATCTACTGCAAAGTGATAACTATACAGCTAAGATCCATGAAGATATTAAGATAGACATGAAGAAATTTACAATATGAAAAGAGAAGAAGAGCATTCTCTATAAAAATGGTTGCATGTACATCTCTCAGAATGAGATCTTGTGAATAGAGCTGATCAGATATCATTATGATCTATCTCTTGCAGAGCATTTTGCTACAGCAAGAATGTACAAGCTTATAGCTTGCAAATACTTTTAGTCAAGAATGAGAGAACTGGTAAAGAAGTATTGCAAAGTCTGTAAGATCTGCCAGAGCTCAAGAAGAGTTTGTGGAAAATCTCAAGAAGAACTATCACTCTTATCAATTTCAAATTACTCTTGAGAATTTATTAGCATGAATATTATTACAGATCTCTCCACAAGCCTGAATTTTGAGAAGGTGCAGTTTGACTGTATTCTGGTTGTAGTGGACTGGCTTACAAAGATGACTCACTTTATTCCTACAATAAAGAAACTGACATCAGAGAAATTAGCTCATCTCTTTATTCATGAGATAGTGAGATTATATGAATTACCTGCAAGCATAGTAACAGATTGAGAATTTCTGTTTGTGAGTGAATTTTGGGGTAATTTAACTTACATCTTGAAGATCACAAGAGTAATAAGCATGGTATTTCATTTGCAAACTGATGGTCAAACTGAGAGACTAAATAGTGTGCTAGAGCAGTATCTGCAAAGCTATATCAGTTATGATCAAGATAACTGGGTGATATGATTATTAATAGCAGAGTTCATGTACAATAATTCATGACAGATCTCCACACAGAAATCATCTTTTCAGCTAATATATGAGTTGAACCTGTAAACAGATCTATTAGACTTTGATAAGTATAACTATATATACAAGAATTTAAAGAATCAGATGGAGGCAATGAAATTGCTCTGTAAGAAGATCAAGAAATTACTTGTGAAGATATAAGTCTATCAGAAGAAGTACTATAACCAGAAGCACACTATAAAGACTTTCCAGATGAAAGACAAGATGTAGCTTGATCTTTGCAATATTAAAACTGTACAGTCTAATAAAAAATTAAATTTGTTGAGGCATGAGTCTTGTAGAATTATAAAAAAGATAGACTTACAAGTCTACAGACTGAAGCTGTCTCCAGATCTGTAAACTTATGATATTTTTCATGTATTCCTGCTCTGCAAGCACAAGACCTGCAAAGAAATTGATAGCTTACCTCATTATGAAGTTTGTGAGATAAATGAGAATGAAAAGAAGTATCAGGTCCATGAGATAATTAACTTAAAGAGAGAGGGTCACAAGCTGTAGTACAGAGTACATTAAGAAGATTATAATAATGAGAAGAACAAGATATGGATATCTGTAAGTAATATCTGTTCACTGAGAAAGCTACTCTAACAATTCTATAGTAGGAACCTGAACAAGCCTGATTTGCAAAAGAGATGAATGGAGGTAGTGAAACTAGAAAATGAATTAGAAAGAAAAAAGATATAGTCAAATCAAATTGAATTAATTTTAAAAGAAGAACTATCTAAGAATTATATAAGAGTCTTTGACTTTCTTCTGTAAAGACCTGTAACAACTATCTATAATCTTACTGCTGGAAAGAGCAAGCAAGATGCCTACAGTATAGACAATTGTTACACTTTTAACTCAAGTCTGTAAAGATGCACTCTGTAAAGACTATATTATTATAGTCTTGCTGAACTCTCTTGCAGGTGGAGCACTTCTGTTCTGATGGCAGCTGAACCCCAGCTCAAGTCACAAGAATACTCTTGTGAAGCTGAATGTGAATAGTTAACTGGTTTAAATTATCCAAACCAGTAATAAGTATAGATCTTTGAATAAACTTGTGACATCATGCTCTTTTATGGGCAGACAAAGCTTGTGCTCCAGTATAAGATGAGAGGCCTGGAAGAATTACTAGATTAGTCTGTAATACATCAGCAAAAGTACCAGCTGGCAGCAATTGGGTGAAGATGATCTGGAACCACTATTGTTAATCTTGTGGAAGAGGTGCTGGACAATCTCAGACACTCTGTGGAACCATGGCACCCATGAATCCTGCTGCAGCAGGGGGAATGGCAATAATAATTTAGAGAAGATTAGCTGTGAACTGAAATGTGATAGAGAATACTCATATTTCCAGCTGGGGCTGGTGCAACAATTGTGGGGGGGAAAGGCAGAGCAGTAGAATTCTAACTCCATCAGCATGTGAACCAAATGTCAGCTTGCAAGAAGATACTTACAGCTTGAGCTGGCAGAAGAGAGGTGACAACTGGTGAAGAGGAGAGAGAGAAAGCAACAATGCTCTAGAACTATCAGTTGTGAACAATTCTCAGTCTCTAAGTCTACTTACTGAAGATCTGGACATCTCTTTTTTGAAGAAGAGGGATATAGGCATTCTCTCAAGAGAGAAGAGCAGTAATAACTTGTAAGAGAGAGAGAGAGAAGACTCTGAACTGGCAGAAACTTCTAGCAAGCATCAGTCTTTCTGTGAACCAAACTCTATACAAAGACAAAACTTCATAATCATGTGAAGTAAAGATGCAATCAGAAGTGAACTCACCAGCTTGAGACTGTAATTGTATGTAGAAAAGAGTATGCAAGATAAAAGGTCTGGTATTAGCAGCTATATACAACTTGTAGACAAGATTGCTACTAGCTCTTAACAAGAGATTCATACAGTGACAGTCTTTTATGTGTGCTTGTGAGCACATGACTTAGTGTCTTGTAAGAACACATGTACTTCTAACAGCTTGCAAGCTGAGACTCTGAACTCTTACAGATGTTATTCATCTGTATAAGAGATTTGCAGATAAATTCTTACAGATTTTCTTCTCTTATAAGTCTTGATTTCTCAAGACAGCTGTCTCATTAAAAATCTTCATGAGTAGAAAAACAAAACCTCTTAGGAAAAATAAAAATTTCCTTATAAGAAAAAGAGTACAGCCTCACTAGAGATATAATATTAACACAACTCTAATAATATAATACAACATAATAACACAACAGAGCTCAATAACATAACAATATATAGAGAGTCTCTATTGTTCTCACTAGCTCCATATCACTATTAGATAATAAGCACTAGCTTAAGAGAGAGCTTTCTCTTACTTTCTCTTTCTTTTCTTTTCTTCTCTTTCTTCTCTAGTTTATATTATTATTATCAAGGTAAGTGAACTCTTCAAGCACTACTTTGTGTGAAAGACAGGCTTACAGAAGATTTCTGATGATTAGAAGAAAATATGACTTCACTTCAATATTCTGCATACTTAATCTATAGATTCATTGTCACGCTAATTCACACATACAATCCTCACACATAAAGGTTCACAGTTATGATTGACATACTTCTCTTGTTTCTGTTGAGTGGCAGCTATTACAGACTGGACTTATTCAGTAGCAGTCTGTATTTTGTGTATAACAACTTCTGCTTGTTCAATAGAGTTATGTGGTGACCAGTTTATAGCTAGGGCATTGGTTTTAAGGTTCAGAAGGCTTATGTTATATCTGTGCATCAGAAAGAAGAGGCTCACTTCTGTTGATGCAGCATCACAGTTATTAATTACTAACTCAGCTAGCAGCAGTCATTGAGTCTAGTCATCTTGTGCAAAGTTGATGAACTTTCTAAGATAAGTCTTTAATGTTTGGTTCATGCATTCTGTAGACCTGTCAGTTTCAGGGTGTGCAGTTATGAAAAAATATCTCTTGATTTTCAACAGCTGGCACAGATGGGTTCAAAAGCCATCTACAAATTGTGATTTCTGATCAGAAACAATAGCTGTAGATAGTTCATGGCAGTAGTATATGCTTTATATGAAGACTTGAACTACTGTTTTGACTTTAATATTCTTGTATAGTTTAAAGATAACTTCTTTGGTGAGTCAGTTTGTAATAATTATAATATTTGTACATTCTTCTGATTCTGGTAGATTAACAATGAAGTCCATTGAGAGTTCTGACCAGATTTAATTAGAAATAGGCAGAGACTTCAGCATTTCTTTCTAATGATCTTTTTATGTTGTTGTTGCCTGGCAGAGATCACAGTTCTATATAAAGTGCTGTATATTCTTAGTGAACTCCAGTCAAAAATATTCATATATAAGTATAGAGATTATTTGCTTTCTATCTGAATAGCCTGTCATTATTAAATTATAAGTTTCTTGCATAATCTGTATGTGTAACTCTTCAGAATTCAGAATCTAGTGCTATTCCTGAAAGCAGAGCTTATTATTATTATTGAGCAAGCAGTCTGATACAGATATCTTCACTAGAAGCTTAGAGAGAAACTGTAAGCATTTGTTCTTAAGAGCTTGTTTCATCTCTTGAAGTTGCATGTCTGTAGTGCATGCATGTTCTCAGTATTTGGCTAATAACAACTCTATTGTATTATTTACCTTGGTGGCATGGCAGACTATTGCACTATTTGTGATCATATGAGACTTTAGTAGCTGTGCTTCTTGGTTCTTCAGCTGTTTGTTGTTGGCATTGGCTGGTATATCTTGATTGTGTTGAGAGAGTGCATCTGGTTCTGTATTGAGCTTTTCAGAGCAGTAACTAATCTGGAAGTTAAAGTTGTTCAGAATGTCTATCCATCACATCTGCCTCTTATTAAGGTGCTGTCAGATCATGAAGTACTTTAGATTCTTGTAGTTAGTAAGAATTTTGAATTCTTTTACACTACAGAGCTTGAAGCTCTATTCTTGTAGACACTCCACCACAGCTAATAGTTCTTTATTGTGAATCTCATAGTTGCATTCAGCAGGTATGTTCTTTCTTGAGAAATAGGTACATGGTCATAGCATGCTCTTTTTATCATATTGCAGAAGCATGCCCCCTATTATATAGTCTGAAAAGTTTGTCTTGACTACTGTTTTACAGCTTGCATCAAACTGTAAAAGAATAGATACAGTGGTAAACATATTCTTTAGAAGTTTGAAGATATTATTATATTTCTTGATCTATTTGAATTTACTGTCTTTCCTAGTTAGTGTTGTGAGTGGTGCTACTATTTTGAAAAAGTCTTTTATAAACTGCTGATAGAACTTTGTGAATCTAATAAAGCTGCACACACTTCTGACTGTTGTGGGAGCTTTCTATTCCAGTATAGCTTGCACCTTTTCAGGGTCCATTTGTATATCTTTATCAGTCTCAATAATGAATTTCAAATATTTTGTCAAAGTGACTTCAAACTTACATTTGCTGATATCAATATGTAAGCCTGCTTTCTGTAACTGTTGTAGCATCTTTTGTACATGCTTCTGGTGTTCTTTGCATAATCCAGTAAAGAAGATTAAGATGTTATCTATATAAGCAGAGCAGAACTCATCTAGATAATCATAAAGCACTTAATTAATATATTTCTGAAAGGTGCTTGAAGCATTTACAAGATCAAAAAGAGTAATTATTCATTTAAGAAGTCTGTATTGTGTTTGAAAGGCTGTTTTTCATTTATTGTCTTCTGATATTTGTATTCAATAGAATGCTTGAATAATATCTAGCTTTGTGAACCATTTGGCACATCCAACCTGTTCCAGAATTTTGTTGATTAGGAGTAACAGATATTAGTTTTTCTTGGTCAGCTTATTTAGTTCTCAGTAGTTTATACAGAAATATAGTATTATAAATCCTGCAGCACAACAACAGAACACACAAAATGATTGAATAATACCTGACAAGATGGAATCATGAACTGTTGTGGAAGAATCTTAAGATGAGAATTACATGACCAGCAATAGAACTGATAAGCTGACTGATCACACCAAGCATGATAGAATTGATTAGAGAATATAGCAGACATATTACAATAGAACAAATAGAACAGCTTAGCAGAACTATCACCAGAGAAGTATTATGTATATAAGAACACTTATTACCAGAGATTTAATAGACTTGTTCATCATGATTAATCTTCTTACTTATCTACTAGATATCTGTGAGAATCATATGTGTGGATCAGCATGACAATAAATCTCTAGAAGGAATATACATGGAAAAGAGTACACAAGGTAAAAGGTCTGTATTCTGGCAATTATGTACAACTTGTAAACAAGATTGCCACTGGCTCCCAGCAAGAGATTCACACAGTGACAGCCTTTTATGTGTGCTTGTGAGCACATGACTTAGTGCTTCACAAGGACACATGCAACTTCCAGCAGCTCACAAGCTAAGGCCTCTGGCCTTCACAGGTGCTGTTTGTCTGTATAAGAGATTTACAGCAAATTCTTACAGATTCCCCCCTCTTGTAAGCCTTGATCCCTCAAGGTGGCTGTCTTGTTAAAAATCTTCATGAGTAGAAAAACAAAAAACCTCTTGAGAAAAATAAAAATTTCCTTATAAGAAAAAGAGTACAGCTTCACTAGAGATGTGATATCAACACAACTCTAATAACACAACAGAACCCAATAACACAACAATATGTAGAGAGTCTCTATTGTTCTTGCTAACCCTGTATCACTATTAGATAATGAACACTAGCTTAAGAGAGAGCTTTCTCTTGCTTTCTCTTTCTCTTCTTTTCTTCTCTTTCTTCTCTAGCCTATATCACCATTATCAAGATAAGTGAACCCTTCAAGCACTGCTTTGTGTGGGAGGCAGGCTCATGGGAGGTCTCTGATGTTCTGGAAGAAAAATGGCTTCACTTTGATATTCTGTATGATTGGCTGAAAGACCACAAGCTGGTGAGTTCACCCCTGATTGTGCCTTTGCTTCACATGGCCATTAGATTTTGTCTTCACATGGGGTTTGGTTTGCAGAGAGACTGATGCTTGCTAGCAGTTGCTGCCAGTGTGCAGTTCTCTCCCCCTCTCTCTTGTAACTCATCTTCACTTTTCTCTCTTGAGAGAATCTCCATCCCCTCTTTCACAGATGAGATTGGGCCTTCAGTAAGTAGTTACAAGAAGTTTGGGAAGTGTTTGTAACTGACAGTTCTAGAGTGTTGTTGTTCTCTCTTCTTTCTCTCCATCAGTTGTTGCTGCCTCTCCTGTGCCAGCTCAAGCTGTAAGTACTTCTCATAAGCTGACATTGGTTCACATGCTGATGGAGTTAGGGTTCTGCCACTCTGTCTCCCCTCTCTACAGTTGTTGCTCTGGCCCTGGCCAGAAATGTGAGTATTCTTTATCACATTTCAGTTTACAGCTAATCTTCTTTAGGTTGTTGTTGTTGTTTTCTCTGCACCAGCAGGATTTGTGGGTGCTGTAGTCCTGCAGGGTGCTTGAAACCACCCAGCACTCCCCCCACAGAATCAACAATAGTGGTTCCAGACCATCTTTATCCAAATGCCACCAGCTGCTACTTTTGCTGGTGTGTTGTGGGCCAATTCAGTGGTTCTTCCAGGCCTCCCCCCCTACACAGGGGCACAAGCTTTGTCTGCCTGTGAAAGGGCATGGTATCACAAGTCTATTCAAAGATCCATGCTTATTGCTGGTTTGGATAATCCAAACCAGTTGACTGTATACATTCAGCTTCACAAGAGAATTTTCATGACTCAGGCTAGGGCCCAGTCACCACCTGGACAGAAGTGCTTCACCTGCAAGAGAGCTCAGCAAGGCTATAACAATATAGTCTTCACAGAGTGCATCTCCACAGGCTTGGGTCAAAAATGTAACAACTGTCTATACTATGGGCACCTTGCTTGCTCTTTCCAGCAGTAAGATTATGGGTAGTTATTACAGATCTTCACAGGAGGAGCTGGAGACTCTAATTATATAGTCTTAGTTTAGTTTTTTCTTCTTTTGTTTTGAAATCAATTGAATTCAGTTCAGTTTGACTATGTCTTTTCTCTCTCTAACCCATTTTCTAGTTCCACTACCTCCATCCATCTCTTTTGTGAACCAGGCTTGTCCAGGTTCCTACTATAGAATTGTTGGAGTAGCTTTCTCAGTGAACAGACATTGCTTGCAGAAACTCATGTCTTGTTCTTCTCATCATTATATTCTTCCTAATGTACTCTGTACTACAGCTTGTGACCCTCTCTCTTCAAGTTAATTATCTCATGAATCCAGTACTTCTTTTCATTCTTGTCTGCCTCACAAACTTCATGATGAGATGAGCTATTGATTCCTTCATGGGTCTTGTGTTTACAGAGCAGGAATATATGGAAGACATCATGAGTTCACAGATCTGGAGGCAGTTCCAGTCTGTAGGCTTGCAAGCCTATCTTCTCCACAATTCTACAAGGCCCATGCCTCAACAAATCCAGTTTTTTGTTAGGCCATGCAGTCTTGATATTACAAAGGTTGAGCCACACCTTGTCTCTCATCTGGAAGGCCTTTACAGTGTGCTTCTGGTCATAGTACTTCTTCTGGTAGGCTTGTGCCTTCACAAGCAATTTCTTGGCCTCTTCACAAAGCAATCTTATTGCCTCCACCTGATCTCTTGAATCCTTGCATATATAGCTATACTCATCAGGGTTCAAGAATTCCATTCACAGATTCAACTCATATGTCAGCTGGAAAGGTGATTTCTGTATGAAAGCCTGTTGTGAGTTATTGTATGCAAACTCAGCCATTGGTAACCACATCATCCAGTCATCTTGATCATAATTGACATAGCTTTGCAGGTACTGCTCCAGCACACTATTCAGTCTCTCAGTCTGACCATCAGTTTGCAGGTGGAATGCCATGCTCATTGCTCTTGTGATCTTCAAGATGTGAGTCAAATCACCCTAAAATTCACTCATGAACAGAGATCCTTGATCTGTTACTATGCTTGCAGGTAATCTGTGCAATCTCACTATCTTGCAAATAAAGAGATGGACCAATTCCTCTGATATCAGCTTCTTTGTTGTAGGGATAAAGTGAGCCATCTTTGTGAACCAGTTCACTACAACCAGGATACAGTCAAACTGCATCTTCTCAAAATTCAGGCTTGCAGGAAGATCTGTAATAACATTCATGCTAATGGATTCCCAAGGGTAATTTGGAATTGATAAGAGTGATAGTTCTTCTTGAAGCTTTCTGTGAACTCTTCTTGAGCTCTGGCAGACCCCACAGGCTTCACAACACTTCTTCACCAGTTCTCTCATTCTTGGCTAAAAGTATTTGTGAGCTATAAGCTCATACATTCTTGCTGTAGCAAAATGTCCTGCAAGAGGTAGATCATGATGACACCTAATCAGCTCTATTTGCAGAGCCTCATTCTGAGAGATGTACACACAACTATCTCTATAGAGAATACTCTTCTCCTCTTTCCACATCATGAATTTCTTTGTGCCTGCCTTAATGCCTTCACAGACCTCAGCTGTATAGTCATCACTTTGCAGTAGATTTGACAGTAATGCCAACAGGTTGGAGCTACTCTTTTCATAAGAATTCTTCTTGCAGACCAGGTCTTTGGCCTTCTGGACCTGCATTGCAATTTTCTTCACTTTGCATGTGTCTCCCAAGACAATCTTTGTGAGTAGTTTCTTGGTCTCAATCCAAAGCTTTACAGAGATGAGTTGCACATTCTCATCTTCTTCCTCCTCTCTGGTTCAGAGAAACTTGAACTGTCAGTTCCAACTTTTCTGTGGTCTCTTGCTTCTTTGTGAGCATTACTCTTAGTTAGTTTGCAGTCTTGTGACCCTCCTTATCATCTAGACCAGTCTTCTTGATATAGTCAGGTCTTCATGAGAGTCCATCTGCTGGGTTCTTAGTTCCTTTCACATGGTCAACTGTGAACCAAAAGACTGTCAGTCTTTGTGCCCAGCAGACCTGTCTTCACAAGAGATCTTGAGCAGTCTGGAAGTAGCACAAGCTATCATGGTCTGTAAGAACTTGAACTGGTGTTCACAAGCCTTCCAACCAGCAGCATCAATATCTAAATAACTCCACAATTGCAAGCAGTTCCTGATTATAAATGCCATAGTTCATCTCTGTGGGTTGCATCTTTCACAAATAAAACCCAACTGGAACCCAGATGCCATTCTTTGCCAGCTGTAATAGAATACCACACATCATGAAGCCAGATGCATCTGTTTCCAATCTGGTCTTCCATTTTATATCAAAATGGTGAAGCATAACAGCTTCTGTGAATGCTCTTTTCAGACTTATGAAGGCTTTGTGATCTTCCTCAGTCATGAAAGTGTTGACTTCTCTTCTTATCTCTCTTCACACATGTCTGCTTAGCTTTGCTTCTTCTCTCTTTAGAAGAGCAGTCAGGCTGTGAGCTATCTTAGAGAATCTTGGAATGAAGCACCTGTAAAAGTTCACAAATCCTAAGAAGATCTGGACCTCTTTCTTACTGGTTGGCTCTGGCCAGTCAAGAATAGTATCCATGCAGCTCTTCTCCATAAGAACACCCTCTGGTGTTATGACATACCCAAGGTAGTCAATCTCACAGGCATTGAACTTGCACTTTGCCAGCTTGTAATAAAGGCCTGCATTCTTGAGTGCCTTAAGTACCAATTTCACATGCTTCTCATGATCCTCCTTGCAAGCCAAGTACACAACCACATCATCAAGATAGGCCACCACAAACACATCCAGATATTCACTAAGTGCCTTTATGATATATGATTGGAAAGCTGCTGGTGCATTTGCAAGTCCAAAGGGCACTATCAAGTACTCAAATAGCTTCTGTGGAGTCCAAAATGCAGTCTTCCACTCATTCTCTTTGTGAATTCTCAGTCTATGGTAGGTGTTCTTGACATCCAACTGAGTGAATATTGCAGCTCCCACAAGCTTATACAACACATCTTCAATCAGTAGTAGGGGATATCTATTCTTGACTGTTTTTGAATTCAGGTCACAATAGTCCATACACATCCTTAGTCCACCATTCTTCTTGAACACAAACAGGATGGGTGCTCTTGCAGATGACTTGGAAGGCCAGATGAACCCATGGATTAGAGCACTGCTCAGATATTCATGAAAAGCCTCTTGCTCAGCTTGTAAAAGTCTGTATGTTCTTTCAAGTCCTGGCTGCTTCTCTGGTTCAAGATCTATAGCCAAATCATCTTTGTGGTATGGTGGCAGCTTTCAAGCTCTCTTGTCACTAAACACTTCTGTGAGTTCATGGTAGACTTCCAGTATCTGGAGGTCTAGGTCCACTATCACCACCTGTTCTGATTTGTGGAGGATCATCACATAGATGGGCTTCCCTCCTTCCACAAGCTCTGAGAGATTAACTGGTTTAACCTTCATGAGTGGGTTGTGATACACAGTTTGGAACTCTAGCCTTAGTTTCTTGAAACACACCTTGAGATTGTGTTGCTGCAGCCAGCTCAAACCCACTAGCATCTCATCTCTTATGTTCACAACCATCACTTGTTCATGGAACAACTGCCAGTTTTCCTGAGAGTCACAGGCTTTAAAGAATATATTTGCAATCTCTTCTGCAAGAGTGACATTCTCATGATCTATAGCAGTTTCAATCTCTATAGGCATCTTGTGCACCTCTAGATCTAGCTTTGTGGCCAATCATGAACTGATCACTAGAGATTGACAGCCCAAATCTATTAGTGCTGACCAGGTAATACTCCTGTCAGTTGGGCTTCATACATCTAGAACAATAGGGGGGAGAGCAAGAAGACTGTTCTTGGACAACTTCATTATATTGATTCTATCTACTTGCAGCCCTCCAACTTTCTATTCACTACCCTTCTTCTTCTTGGGACAGTCTTTTGCAAGGTGGCCCTTTTGGCCACACTCAAAGCACCTCCCATCCTTTTTCAAGGCTTTGTGATTCTTAGTAAGGTCCTTCCCCATCTCCTGAGCAGGCCTCTGGAGTTGACTCCTCTTATCCATTCATAGCCTTGAGTCATTAGTCTTCATACCTTCATAAGCACTTCCAACTGGATTGGTAGACTTCATGTGTGAGGCATTCTTTGCATAGGCTACTGACACACTTGGTTGGAGCTGGGTGGCCAGTACTACTATATCATCAATGTCATCTGGTATCTCCAGCTGTTCATCCAGTTTGGTTCACATGGGCTTATCCAAGCCCCATATAAACAGGTTCTTCTTCATTTTTGCAGAATCTTCAAATTCTTCACCAATCTCTGTTGTGAGCTCTAGAAATTATTGGCAATAGGCATAATCAGTTTCATCCAAACTTTTGTGAAGGCCAAAGATTGCTTGCCAAGAATTTCACATGCAGTTTGCTGGGTCTCCTAGTCTTGTGTGTAGAAATTCTTTAAGGCCAGTCCAGTTGTTTTTTGATGGATTGCCTTTGTGGTGGGCCTCCCAAAGGTCTTTCTCAATATAATCAAGTCCTGTGAGGGCATACACAAGAGTATCCTCATCATTCAGTTTGCTTGTGTCACAAATGGATTCAATATCTGAGATGAACTGGCAATATTCTGTGTAGGTTCCAGTCTGGTAGCACTTTGTGTGTTGTGGTGGTCTCAAGATTGACAGACACTTCACAGGTGTTGGGTTGGAGGTAGCTATATCAAGAGATTCACTTCACAAGTGCTTTTGGGTGTTCTGGAGAGCATTCAACTTCTCTTGCCATTTCACCATTTTCTTTAGTAGCTTGGTCTCCTCATGAAGCTGTTGGATTTTGTTTTTTGGTGTCAGGGTAGACTCTCTCTCTGAGTTCACAGTGCTTGTTTTATTGACAGTTAAGAGAGGTGAGGTGTCAAGATTAGTTGTCTCTTTGCAAACTTGGGTTTGTTCTTCAGATAGGTTTTCAGCTGGTGTCCCAGGTTTGTGAGTTTCAGGGGGTTGGCTTCTTCATGTTGATACCATTGTTGGGTGTCATCAAAGAAGAGTGGCAAAATGTGAGGATCATACATGTGGATCAGTGTGACAATGAATCTCTAGAAGGAATATACATGGAAAAGAGTATATGAGGTAAAAGATCTGTATTCTGGCAACTATGTACAACTTGTAAACAAGATTGCCACTGGCTTCCAGCAAGGGGTTTGCACAGTAAC